ACACTTTTTTTTTTTTTAATTAAGTACTTTTCTTCTTACCATTGCAGCACATTCCAGGGTGATGAGGCCCCGCTGTCCGTGTCCCAGCTGCTGGCATCGCTTTATCAGCCCCTGGAAGGAGCAGCATGGGTTACCACACGTAGGGCTTAGAAACAGCCCCCTCCAGACCAGCTTCCACCACAGAGCCCAGTAAAACACAAAAAGCCTTCTTCCCCCCACCGCCCGAGTCCCACAAGCCATGAAGAAATTGCAAATTTAGCCCGCTCCCGAGTAACCTTCCAGAAAAAGGGCTGCAGGAAAAAGTTAGAGGTAATGCGGCTATTTTGATCACATTATATTTGAGGTGGAAGCTCTTGATTTTGGAGATGGCAGCCGCTGCCGGCATTCAGGGCTGTTAGACAAGGAAGTGTCTCCCTGGGGAGGGAGGAGACACATTTGCAATTTCAGCAAGATGAAGAGGTTCCAGTTCGTGTCTTTTCCCCCCTTAGTATGATTATAGTCCTGCCAATTTTGGACCAGAAAGTCACTTACCAAAGGCCGATCATAGCTGCTTATTCTCTCACAATTAACTAATACAACCTAAAAATCCAACAAAGTTCTTTAAACAAACTTTCAGCCCTTCCTTTCAGTCATTCCTCGCTGGATTCACCGTACCTTGGCACGCAGCTGCGCTCACAGAAAGCACGTTTTCCCTGGGCTTTGCCAAAACCTATTCTTGAACACCCCTGTGTGTCCCCCACACGCGTGCACCGCTCGGCATGGCACGGCAGCAGGCGGTCACGGACCGTTTCGCTCACGGACGGTGGATCCTCTTCGGGGATGGGTTCGTTCTGCACCTCCTCTCTTCCAGCAGCAGCTCCTGCGTTTGCAGGGAGGGCTCGATAGCTCTGCGCTGTCTCATAGCATTGCCCTAGACATGAAGGTTTCTCTCCAGTAAACTGAAATATCCGCTGCTTAGAGCCTCTGCCTATAGCAGCAAGATCAGTTTGACTTTCCAACTGCCAGATACGACAGTAGGGACAGACAGAGCTCAGTACCTTAGTAGGAAGAACTCATTAAAAACCAGATTCTTTGTATCCAGCAGAAATATTTTGCATGGGGAGGGGAGAAGGAATGCACAGCGGAGAAGATGTATTGTAATCAGATACAGTTTTAATAAAATGTACATAAGTTTACAACTCGAACATTTCTTCATAATGATTACCAGAAACACAGATGATCACACCCGGAGTGCAAAACTTGACTCCATCAAATCTGCAAGTCAGAGGTACTTCCAAGACCGCTAAGAATTATCTTAATAACAGCACGGTGCAAACGAAACACTGCTCTTAAAACACGAGTCACAGATTGTTTGTCACAGTTAGCGGAGACCACGGACGCTTCCAGCTCCGGCTTCCCGCTCCACGTGGAAACAAGAGAGTTTCTTTTACTGCCGGACTCGGCGCGTAGCGATGCTCTACCAGCTGCATCCTACATTGGAGCAAGCACCCTGCCCTCCCCTCCCTTGCGAGCAATTATTTCTCCCTTTGGAGGTGAGGGATCGGGGAACAGTGGATCATCATTATCCCTCTAACTTCACAGGGGAGTATTTCTAGGTGTGTGTGACGGTATTTACCCTACCTACAATGGAAACTACAGGCCGTGGCTTATTTTTAGAAACATTAACACAGCTGATCAGGTTTCAGGAATGTGTTTCAGAACTGGAACAAGATTTCACCGTCAAGATACTACTGTAAAAATGCTTTGGAGTCTTTTGGTGTACTGAAAGGCCTTGATTTAACCCCACGAGGAAAAAAAAAAAAAAACCAAAAACACCACAAAAATTCAACTCCCCAACACAAGAGTCTTTGGTGGAAGCTGAGTTAAAGTAACCGATTACCACTTTGGAGTGATTGAGAGTTCAGCAATTAAACAGATCTTGCTCAGGCTTGCGTTAAGTCCCACTGAAGACATGCTTCAGGCGCTGTGGGTCATGATTGCTTACGTGGGTTTGCTGTTACGAGCTTAATATCACCTATGTGCTCCATGCATAGTGTGCATTACAGATTGAGTGTGCGCTGGCTTCAAGAGACTAAGACTGTAAACTTAACACCATGTATGACTAGTACTGAGCTGGATGGAAGGGAGAGGAGATACGGGGAAAGTCCCGAAAATACTGCAGCAGGCTGTGGAAAGTGCAAGTTAACACCACGGCGGCTGGTCCCGTTATATGCGCTGTACAAACGTCATGGCAGCGAGGCGCGGAGAGCCAAGCCAACCACCTTTTTTTTTTTTCTTTCTTTCTTTTCCCCATGCAGAAACTCTGATTAATCGCTTTGAAGAGAGACTTTAAGTGCATTCAAGCTGAAGTTGGCAATGGGTAAGAACCAGTCCCTTTCCCAGCACGAAGCTAAGATTGTCGCAGGACTGCAGTGATAACCGCGGCCCTCTGGCCGTGCATGAGGCACCCAGGGCAGTTAACAGAATTTACTACTGCTTTAAAAAACAGATGAAACCAGTGTTTTTGTTCAGAAAACTGACTTCAAAACACTGCATTGAGGCCATACTGGTCTTATTTCATTAAGATCACCGGTTGTGTGGCAAAGAAAACAATTAGCATTATTCTTCCACATTCATTAAAACCAGTAAGCTTTCAGAGACTATGGAAATGAAATTTCCACTTACAATTCATCACGCTGAAGCTGCAGTATTGGCAGTGCAGGATTAGGAGGAATACAGGCTAGAAGTGAGAAGGGTATCAGACTAACTGGCATTGAAATTCAGTTTTCTGACCGTAACCAAAAGTCCCATTACTTTATAGCTCACATGCAGAGATACAAACAAGCTGCCTCCACCCTCCAAAAGAGATTTAAAACCATTTAAGCACTGGATGTATGCTGGCAGGATCGTTAGCTTCTGGGGCATGGTTAGCTTGCTCTTTGTGTAAAGTGCTTGAAGAACATAAAAGCTGCCAAAATGCTAGCTGGCAATTCAGTCTGACCCGACCTGAATCAGGGCTGTAAACAAGCCCGCACACCTCGCTGCATTCTCCCTCCCTCCCTTGGCTGGCAGTGCAGGATAGCAAGCTCTGAACTACAAGCAGCTCACCTCCGCCTCGCCGACACGAACGCACACACGAGAGGCAAGGGGCTCCGGTCCGAGCGTGAAGGGGAACGGGCTAATGCTTCTCCAGCATTAGCTAAGCGAGACCTGGACGTGGCATTGCAAGAAGTTTCACAGAATTATCCAAAAGCAATTTTTCAAGTAAAAATGAAGGAAAGGAAGGAGAACCTGAATCCAGTTAGCAGAGGTAATACCTTGAACCCACATCTTATTTATACGTGGTACCTGCTTCCTCCAGCGAAGCAGCTCCCTGTTCCGCAGATTCATCCCTGCACCGCCAAGGCCTGAGCTCCCTTCCAGCAGCTTCCCGAGCGAATTTAACAGCTCGAGGCCAAATTCAGCCTCCTGGCTGCACGCACAGCCATGATACAGGTTGCGTGCTGAAACAAATCTGGGCCCTCGCGCTCAGCCTCCTTGGTATCCCTTGAATTCACAGTTTGCTATCGCAGGCATTCTTGGCATCTCTCACTGATCCAATCCAGCAACAACCGACTTGGGGGGGTATATATTTAAAACAAAAACAACAACCGCCTTTCAGGTATATACTTAAACAGAAAATTCAACGACAACAAAACACAATAAACAACAGCCTCAGCTTTGCTGAAGAAACATCTCTAGGGAAACCCAGAAATTTCTTTACAGTACTTCTGTTTTCAAGAGGTGGACAGAAAAAACCCTAAACCACCAGTATGCACCAATATTACTTAACTCCGAGCGTAGCAGAGCAGGGCAGAAGGTTCCCAGCTCCCCACAACACGACCTGACCTGGGCTCGGCAAGTCACTATTTGCCAGCAACTGGGCTGCGCAAGCCAACATAGCCTCATTGCTTTCAAGTATCCTCCCTCCCCACCCCAGGGCTGTAAGACCTCAGTCCAAGCTTCTCCCTCTCCCTTCCAGGCAATCCCCACGCCGAGCACATCCAGCAGAACATTTGGCTCATCTCTTGCAACTGGAGATATTTTGGAAGGGGAACTGAATTCAGGGAGGGGAAAGGAAACATGGAGCAGTCGGTAACTCCTACTTGCAGATGCTTCGCTAGTCAGCTCCCGGCATTCAGGGTTTTTCCATCCATCCTCCCCTTACGCTGCTGGGCTTAAAAGTCAGCAGCGAGTCAGCCCCAGACTGTGCAATGTTCTGCTTTGTTTAAGCAGCCTTCATGTGCATCTTTAATATGCCTGTTGCATTCCTTTAATGCTTATTATTTGGACAGCGGACAAAGCTATATACCGGAGGTGGCGTCAGGTTTTTTTTCCCCACAAAACTAGACTGAAGTCTATTTTCAGCTGCAGAAGCTCTCCCGGGTGTGACTCCAGCGAGTTAGGAGGAGCTACGGCTGATCCTTCCCTCTCTTAGAGTGGCAGTACTTGCAGTACTTTCTCCCCGAGTACAAACACATCAGAAAGTGGGCAGGGCAGGAACCTGCTCTACATACGACCGGTTCTGATCTCAGCAACCTACCCATTGCTCCAACAATTCCCCTGCAAACCCCCAAAGACATTAAAGCCACTCACGGGAGACCCCCAAACGCAAAATATGTCCTTTACCCTCAGCACAAGGCTCCAGCTCACGTGATAATGAACAAACTCCCTTGGGAAACAGCCACCGCAAGGCTTTTAAGAGACTTGGCCAGATACTACTGGAGTCAATGGGGATTTTTTCCATAGATGTCAAGTCCTGAAAAATGAAACCACCAAAATTTTTTCTTGAGGGACATTCTGCAGCACCAACACCTGTTAGGAGGAAGGATTACTGCACCACAAAGATGCATCAGCGACTGGGAGCCCAAAGAGTCCCTATAACTGGATATTTTCTAAGTGTGGACTGGCTTTCAAGTAGCCTTTGCGGGCCAGAAATAGCAGATCCAAGACAACTTATGCAATCAGGCATTTTGCAAAATAAAGATGGGAGGTTTCACTCTTACCTCTGTCTTATATTAGTGAAAAGAGAGGGGAGCAAAGTCTGCTTTGTTTCTGCCCAGCTGCCAACCCGGGTGACTTTTCCTCCAAACACTGTATTAGGATTCACTACATCAATGACTGAACAAGCAATAAGAAGTTGTCTTTCTCTTTGGGAATACGGTAGAAAGCGCAATATTTCAGAAGTAGAGCAAACGTTACCAAAGGAGTGTGAATGGATTTTGTTTAGGTTCATCCTTAATCAGCAGGAAAACAAAAGGCAGAATTTACAAATATAGAGTCAAGTTCTCTGCTAGTATAAATCGCTCTAACTAGATTGCAGCGAATGCTGAATTACACCAAATGAGGTATGTAGATCAGGACATCTATCGAGTTGTTTGCATAATAAATTTTACCGTAAGGCGTATTTTTAATACTGTGAAAATGCACGGCTCTCTCCTTCACAACACCATAAGCAAATTTCTGGGTCCTACACTTTGGCATAAACCAGACAGGAAATACACATGTAAAACTGAAAGCTTTGCCTGATCATTCCATTTTCCAAACAACGGCAACAGTAACAGCCTGACAGATTGCTTTGCTGAAGTTCACGCATCTGAGAGTTTGCAAGACAAGCAACTGAAGGCACTGTGAGTCCTTCCACCGACTCCTCCGGGCTCTGGCACAGGACCCGGGCAGAAGCACTTCCACATGTTACACGCCACAGCGAGCAAAGAAATGCTGCACGCGCGATACCACGGCTCTGCTCACATCAGCGCTGCACAAACCTGGCACCAGACAGTGCCTGCACGGCTTTCACTCGGTGCGCACATAACCTACGAACACACGCGACGGAACCACTCTGGAGCCACGGCTGCCAGGTTTGCCATCACTGCCAAGCAGCAGGAATAGACAACCTTGCTCCCTTCCACAAGTCCCCACTGACAGGAAAGAAGTCACAATAACCCTTTAACCTGTGAAATCCCTTCCTTTCCAGAGCACTAGCAAGTCCCGCTTGACTTGCTCTGTAATTAATAAACCTTTTCATTCATCTCATAATGCATTTCCCCAGCCAGGACCAGAAAATACAGAGTATTACTGGTTTGGAAAAGCATCTAGAAAATAAATGGGGGGAAAGACAGCGAGAGGAGGAAGGTAAGAAGCAACTGAAAAGGATATGAAGATCCTGAGAGCCAGGCATTCAGACTAACTAACATAACTTAAAATGGTTCAACTAAATATCACTGCAAATAGAGTTCTGACCAAAAAATAATTATTATTTTTTTTTATATATATATATTGCTATGTCATTCATTTCAACTAAGAGGTTCAAGGTCCTGTGAGAGGTGGTTCTACGGGAAGCACACCTCCCAGCTCACAGCAGATTAAGGCTTTTGCTTTCCCGCTTTGGAAGGAAACGGTGCTGAAGCAAACGGATCCCCGCCGGGCAGCTCTGTAGTCCTGGAAGACAGAGGGGCAACAAAGACAGATCCTGCTATCGCCTGTCTGTTGGTCTGAGAAACCACTTTGTAAGCAGCTATGGGCTTGACTTCGAGACCCTGCCCATCTTCTGGACTGTAGTGACGGGAATATTTTGACAAGGATTGCGGACGGAAAGGCTTGTTAACCACGGAGCCCAGCACGGCTTCCTGGGGCAGCGCGTGTCCTCCTTGGTTTCTCTCGCTGGGCATGCCACCCTGCTCTTGCAGCACGCCTTTAGAAGGGATGTTTTCCTGGGTCTCCACGGCTCTTACGGAAGAGGGATGAAGATTGCTTGGCTGAGTAAACCCAGCAGAGGGATATGGAGATCTCGCCGAGGCCGCGGACCCACGCATTGCTGAATCCAGGCTTGGGAACATTGGGTTAGCTCTGTGTTGGACATCACCTCCTTGACTTAGGAAAACGGGTGGTGCGAACGGTTCCTTAGACATACTATGGGAAGTCAACTCTTCCATGCTTTTCTTTTTAGTGAAAGGGGCTCTCAGAAATACATCGGCTTCTTCTGGATGTCTAAGAGCCACGTTGCCCTTGGAGATAAAAGGAGCTTTGGTAAAGACGTCCACCTCATCAGGCACTTTTCTCGAGCTTCGGAAAGGAGCCGTGGCAAAAACATCTGGTTCGTTAAAAACCTCCCCGGTGTGCGACTGGAAGGCAGGGAACAGTGTCTCCCCTGCTCTAGTCTGGGAAGACCGGGAGTGGGGATCTTCTTTGGAGGCCTCATGTCTTTCCCTGGGCGCAGACTGCAGGAATCCTGCGCACAACTTGCAGGTTTCCTCCTCCTCTTCCGAATCCATCAGTAAAGGCCTGGACCCGCTGCAATCCAAAATGTCTCCTTCGTGGTCTGTCCCCTCTCCTTCGCTGCTGTAGAAGGAGCTGTTGCTTGAAGGACCATCTCTTGTTAAGTAGTCTGATTCTGAGTTGTGCTGCGTTTTCACCTCCAGTATCTCAGACTGGCCCTTGTACAAAGCAAGTCCATCACTGCCAGAAGGTCCTTTACGGAGTTCAAGAGCTACAACTGGGAATAGGGCCGGATCCCTCTGCATACCTAAAAATGCAAGAGAAGAGTGTTACTCAACAACTCCATCTCCTTAGTCGTAAATAAGAATGAGAAGTACTTATTACACAAGAAGTGTCATGCCATTCAGATTTAAACCACCATCACGCATGGAAAATGGGACAGAGAGGAAGGGCAAGTAAAAGAAAATAAAAATGCCAGGGAAGGTATTTACGACACACAAACTGACACACAACCCGACGCTGCCTCACAGCTCGGGGACACCACAAGTACCAGTTTTCAGAAAGAGATGGAAGATGTTTGACACACAAATGGGCACACCCAGCACTCTCTCAGCACCATTCCACAAGGTGGAATGCCACTCACGACGACGACCACCATCAGAAAGGTTTTCACTTCGTAACACTGCTGCCTGGAGTGAGGCTCCAGCAAACAGACAATTTTTGTCATTTCGTTCTGCACCGTTGCTTATTGACTGCCCTACAAGCAGATATACAGCTTGGCATAGCCTCTGTTTCTGTGAGCCGTCCCACGGATACGTGGAATTACACTCGGGCATGTAAAATACACAGGGATGCCCTACAATCTGCTAAAATAACATACACCTTTCAAAGAATGAAGGTCAGCCTATAGCTTTTAAGGAATCCTGGTAACTATAGCAGCATTATTTTAAACCACTGCAAGACAAATTATTTTAAACAACGCATACCATGACTTCAAATCAAGTATCTAACATAACTATAACGATCTGGTTTGCTTCTGTGTTAGTGTAACAAGACAGTGCGGGGAGAGGCTTGCTTTTCTGCTCTTCTCCAGTTACAAGAGCCCAAGATGGGGTTGGTTTTGCCTTACGACTCACACAGACAGAACAGAAGATATCTTACCTTCAGAGAACTATTGGCAGGTTAGGAGTATGTCATTGGATTCATGTTAGCGAGAGGATAGGAAAAAGGCACGTGAAAACTAAGCAGTATGAATTGCAGGAAGAACGAGGAGGGTAAGGAGGTTGTTTGGTATCCACTGAGCGATGGACAAGCGAGGTACTAACCAACCCACCCGGCTGTGACAAAATAGCAGCATCGCGTCCAAACTCTGCCCAGGTTAATCGTTCACGTTTGCACACCCATCGCAGCCCGCAAGGCACCGTTTCTTGATCAAGTCCGTAGACATACACGAGTTAACCCGTTCTCAGTCACTTCTCACAATGAAAGACACAGTAGTCGTTCATTAGGCATCAAAATCGGTATTTATTGGGAAACTATTCACTTAGATACATTACACTGCTAAATAAAGACAGTGTAGATATGCGAACATTTTATAAGTTACTCTACAAAAATACTATCTATCTTTCCTGAAGCCTGTGTTGTCAGCAATGGTTTAACCTTAGATGCTAATCTCAGATTACAGGAACAGTACGTCTGTGGCGCTGTTTTCTTCCAGGAAGCTGGTTATATATTTACCAGGTATTATTGTGGGATTTTGAGAATACAGGCTGAAGCAGAGCACGACCAGTTGCCACATCGCGCAAATGCCTCTGAATTACCCAGTCCTCATTGAAATATAGCTTACAGGAAAACAAGGAAAGGAAAAAGGCATTTATCATGGTGAACATTATGCCAATGCAAACCAATGACCCACTTTTCACAAGAACAGCGCAAACAAGAAATTTGATCAGAATTTTCTTTTTAAAGAGTTACTTGCGTTAGTAGGTGTCTACGTTCATGTAAGCGGTGACATTTAGGACAGAGTAAGAGAAGGGCTGACAGGATATAAGCCCGTTTGCTTAGGACAGGAGCAGCATGCGTCTCTAAACTTGGAGGCACCGTATGATAGGCAGAACACTCTATTTTTGGAAAAACTACTTTTTCCAATGCTTTCTTGCTCTCTCTGCCCATCATAAGTGAGAAGGGCACCAAATGCTTGGAAGCAGTTTTCTCCCTTGCTAAGGCCGGTACAGGATTTGTGAATTACTCTGGGAAGGAAAAAATGAAGCGATGCTTAGGTAGGAGCTCGTTCCGGCCTTCAGTTAGGAGCCGGTTTCACTCAAAGCTGCTAGGCAATACAGCAAGAAGGGAAGGGCCCTGACAATTTGAAAACAACAAAAATGGGCACAGCGATATTAAAATGCAGTGGGTTACCCAAGAAGTTTGGGGATTTACTGACAAGAGAGGAGCACCATCTACACGCCCATGTTCTATTTTTCTGACGCTGAAGGAGGAAGGCCTGGCTTCCAGACACCATCCCACAGTAACTGATCTCAGGCACCTTTTCTTTCCCATGTTCTTGGGTTCCCTCAGTTTGTTTCCTTTGGCAGAAAGCAAAGGGACAGTCCCAGAAGGAACGATGGCAGCATCACTACAACAAGGAAGACAACATCAGGCCAGCATTTTACTTTAGCTAACATCTGGGTGCATGTCTAACTAGACAGTGGCTTAGACATCTCCTCTCACAGTTGTTAATCTCATACGTTAGAAAAGGTCTGAGCTATGCTTAGACACTGAAGCGTGCAATCAAACCAAAAAAAACCAAACCCCTTTGTGTAAAGGTCAGGTTAGAGCTAACGAGACAAGGTCAGCGCATTCCCATAAGCAGCCATAGCTACAGGCTTGGCAGACAAACGTTTCAGAGGCGCATGCTGCATAACTTTTAGGACGACAGAGAATTTAAGTTAGCCAGCGCCGATGGATGCTTCGGCAGGTCTGAGATCAGAGACCAGCGAGACTGAAGTGCTCAAGGGACTGTTTCACATGAAAAGGCATGGCAGTTTTGTTCTGTGTTACAGTCAAGGAGAGAAAAAGTCACTCCATGAGCTGGTAACAGCACGAGGGTAAAGGACAAATCTCATGAAACTAAGACAGTGCCTTTTTGTTTGAAGCCCTGCCCCTTCTCTGTGATGACTTGGCTCCCATTCGCACCAAGGGCACACTATGCAAGAGGCCTGAAAAGATACAGGCAGATGGTTTGCTTGAATCAACGCACAAAGCACCCACAAGCCCTCGTGCAAAGAGAGATGCCTCTTTTGCAGAGGCAGCATTTCCTAACATCTGCCTGTGCCAAGATGGACACCGTCAATGGGCAGCTGCCTCTTTTGTCCCCTCCTCCTCCGGACTCCTGAGTTCTGTGTGTTACTTCATGGGGAAGCACCCCTTAATTTCAATTAATGCTCAGGTTTTAACGCATGCACACTCCTAACAGCTGCAAGCTTTACAGCACAAAGTCTTTACAGAAGCTTGAGTTTATAGATAAGGTTTCACTCTACCCCTGTACAACACTTGTGTATTTTTTATTCCAGGATCAGATATACGTACTAAAGAAACAATTCCTAAACTATACTGAGTCTCCCTTTCTGCAGGGAGAACCTTGGTAATAAAAACATTTATCACTTGGTACTCTAGGAATACACTCTGCGTGTGTTCAGATAGCAACCTGAAGAAAAGACCATCTACCCCCGAGTTACAGCACTGACACGTGGAGTTCCCCATCTTTTAAGGAAAATGGTGCAAAAAAAGTGGCAAAGTACTGAAGTAACTGACAGGAAAGCTATAAAAGATTTACTCTCCCTTTTACAGGGGGCTGCAAGGAGGCAGAGCAGTCACCAAGACGATGATCTCATTTCTGGAGCAGAGCCCAAAACAAGAAAGTCAGGGGAGACAGAGGCATTCCCATTCTTGATTTCATCAAGCCAAAGTCAGGAAGGTCTCAACACGTGGAAACAGGTATCTAAAAATCAGCACGATTACTACTATGCAAGATTAATAGTTTGGCATTTAAAAAGGGTCAAAAGACTTCTCATTCCTTCGTTCTTGAAACGGTGGAGTTTTTCCTTGTATTCTGATTCCTCGAAGCAGCATCATTAAACAATACAGAACTACCCCCACACAGTGCTTTCAGGGAGGAGGTACCAAAGCAGAACGCCAAGGGTCAGCATCACCATTACTATGTCACCGGGCAACAATTTGGACAGCAGAATTAAGCGTTTCTGCCCAAAGTCACTGCACAGTGGCAGATCTGGGAGCAGATCTAGGGTTCTTCAGTTCCAGAAGATAAGCAATTTAATGTTCTAGTTTTGGCACACTTATACAGTCATTTGCAACACGCAAAGTGAGACAGGGCACTAACCCCCACACACCACATTCCAGCAGTTTACGGACAAGACTGACTAACTGGAGACTAACATTGCTTGGTTTTCCCCTCATTTGTACTGTGCACAAGCCAAGCGTTACATATGCAAGTCATTTCCAAGATGCAGTCTGTGACCATCTCAGAAAAACATAAGGCGAGTTTCTAGGGGTTAAACTCCCTCCTGTGCAGGGCAGCAGCGCAAGTCTCACACATCAGTAATGTCCTTAAAACAACCCCAGCCAACAACCCACCCTTCCTCCCAAGGAACAATGAGATCTGATGCTGTACGTGGAGTCTGCGCTCCTGCGCGTAGGCACGGCTGTCCCCAGAGCACAGCTTCTTTCAGTTACAGAAATAGACTACACAGGAACAAAAAATAAATACAAAGAAAACCCTTTCCCACCCCCCCCAAGTCTAGGTTTCCTGCTGGAGTGATGCAGTTTGAATGTGCAGTGCCCACACACCTCCGCAAAGAGAAGACACGGGAACTAGTCTCACCAGATTACTGGTAACTGAGTTGACCGATAAGCCTCATTCATCAGAGCACTCCCCCACGTTACAGTCACGCTTCCCCCACATCCATGCCAGCTACTTCCCAACTCTGATGGATTCCTATGAGGGTTCCTGAACTAGAAAATGTATTGGCTAAAAAGAAAATAACTTACTCCGTACGGACACGCACACGCTTCAGATGCTACTGCAGCACGCTATGTGCTTGATGACATTTTCTGTAGTCAGAGGCCCACATGCTCCACATTTTATGTTTGCTTGGATACCCCAAAACTTGCTGAACTCTGTCTTTGGTCTGAATCGTATCTGAACTTTCATTGTAATAACAATTTTTTTTTTTTTAAATCAATTTTTAAATAAGGTGGTTTTGGAAAGTCACTGGAGGCAATATCCTGCGA